GGGCCCCGGCAGGGCCCCCCCAACCCAGCCACAGCCAACCCCCCTTCCCCTAATGAAAAGGCTACAGCGGGTTTCACAAAAGCACCCAAGTATAAAAGCAATTCACCTTACAAGCTCAAAGCCAGAAAGGATTAGAAAACAAAGTAAATGGGGAAATGTCACCCAGGCTTGCTGCAGTATGGAATCCCCTTAGAGGTGCCGATTCAGAGCAATGTGGAGACCAGCAAGGTCAGGCTGCTCATGCATTCCCCGTGCTGCAGCTGCTGCACAGCTGGATCACACCCTGGAGCGACGGTTACTTGAAAAGCAAGACTGCTTCGGGCAGCAAAGAGCGGCACAAGCTGTCCCAGGGAGGAAACGCAACCAGAGCAGCTGCTCATAAACATGGTTCACAGTATGCAAAGCAACAGGCATCGCCACAGTCCCCAGAACTCCTGTGTGCCCCCCCCTTCCTGACACCCCACAGCCCTTCCTGGCCTCCCCGTAGGAGACTCCCCCACCCATATTAAACACCACCAGCCAAGGGGGTGGACATGGGGCTCCTTCTCCGGAGTCCACCCCTCGCTCTGCAGTTATCTGCTCTGCTGCTCAGGTTTCCGCTTGAAGAAAAAGCTGCCCTGGAGCAGGAGAGCTTTCTCCAGAGCTCCCCAGGTCACACCAGGTACAGTAACAGCTTCAGAGCAGCGTGCTGCCTTGGAGAGGTGCAGCCTCCTATTTTTAGCACGCACCCGCTCAGACTCACAGCGATTACTGTCTCCTCCACAGCTGCTGACACGCCAGCGTCCACCCGGCCCGGCCCCTCGTGCCCTCAGCACCCCAGGCAGTACCGTGGGCGCCCGCATTGCCTTCGCTCGCTCCACATCGCTTCCCTGCGCATCCAAGGCTGGGACCCCGGCACCCGGGCTGAAGTGCAGCCGGTGGCCCCGAGCCACCCGGAGCCCCTGCAGCAAAGTTACCCAAAATGGCACCGGCTTTACCAGAGCCACCCGACACCTGGACACGCTCAGGCAATGCCTCGGACCCGCTCGGGACAAGAGGAAGCAAAGCACAGGAGCTGGTTTCCGTAAGCTGCTAAGGCTGGTTTAGCCCGACTGATTTTTTCGCTGGCAGGGTCTTCTCCTGCATCCTGGCCAGTGCAACACATGACCACCCCGAGCAGATCCGAGCCACCCCG